GCTGCTGCTGCTGCTGCTGCTGTTGCTGCTGCTGATGCTGCTGATGATGATGCGGATGATGGTTGTGGTGTTGATGATGGTGGTGATGGTTCTGCTGCAGGAGCTGCTGCTGTATCAGGAATAGGAGCTGCAGCAGCAGGAGTAGGTGCAGCAGCAGCAGGAGCAGCAGCAGCAGGAGCAGCAGCAGCAGGAGCTGCAGCAGCTGAAAGTATGGGTTTAAACAGAGGAGGTATAAGTAAGAGATCTGCTTGGGGGCAGCATAAGTCAAAAGAAGAAGGAACTGCAGCACCCACTGGCAGCCCCTGTATCTTCTTGTATGTACCCATGCTTACAGGCGGGTGAGATAGTATACGCATCAACCGAGATGCCTCGCTGCATGTAGCTGAACATATACATAAAAAAGGAGACAGTTGAGAGGAGACACATAGCAAGGGGACACTCAGAAGGAGACAGTCAAAAGGAGACACATAAAAAGGAGACACTCAAGAGGAGACAGTTAGGAGAAGACACATAAAAAGGAGACAGTTAAGAGGAGATACATAAAAAGAATACACATAAGAAGTGACAGCGAAGAGGGGACAGATGAAAGGAGACACATAAAAAGAGACAGCGAAGACAGATAAAAGGAGACACATAAATGGAGACACATAAAAGGGAGAAAGTTAAGAGAGACAAACAGAGGAGACACCCAAAAGGAGACAGAAAAGAGGAGACATATAAATGGAGACACGAAGAAAGAGACACATAAAAAGAGAGACACATACAAAGAAAAACAGAAGAGTAGGAGAGGACTCGTCGAGGATATCCCCCTACTGAGAGAGGAGACACACAGAGAGGAGACACATCAGCAAACAGAGAAAAAATATATAGAGCCGCGCAGACACACCAACTGAGTCGCTGCTGCGGTGTATACAGCCAAAGGAGACACCAAATCAATGTATGCAGCCCCAAGGAGGGAGGCAACACGAAAGACAGAGATAAGAGACGCAAGCGGAGACAAAGACAAAGACAAAGACAGAGACAGAGAGAAGGACAAAGGCAAACACAGACACAGGCACCTGCAGCAGCAGCAGCAGCAGCAGCAGCAGCAGCAGCACTTGGAGCTGCTTACTAACGAAGCTTTTAGGAGACACTGCATTGAGGTTAGCATTGGCAGCAGCAGCAGCAGCAGCAGCAGCATCCAAATCATTGGCTACAGCACAGCGCACAACGCCCTGAAGCTCCTTTAGATAGCGGAGACTGCGTAAACCTGAAAAGGAGACACATACAAAAGGAGACAACTACAGAGTACACACGGAGACAGCTGAAACAAAAAAACAAAAGATACACAGCAACGTTGGGGAGAAGCAGACAAATTCTCTCTCTCTCTGTCTCTGTCTCTCTTTCTGTCTCTGTCTCTCTCTCTCTCTCTGTCTGTCTCTCTCTCTCTCTCTCTCTCTCTCTCTATATATATATATATATATANTATATATATATATATATATATATATATATATATATATATATATATATATATATATATATATATATGCGTATGGAGAGACACATACACAGAGAAAAAAAGGAGACAGGCGCAAAAAGGAGACACTTCGTACCTGTAGCTGCGAGGGCCTCGAGCACATTGAAGCCCACAAACTCCAGGGGGGGGGGCTCAGGCCGCCCCTCCGCCTTGCTGCGCGCTGAGGCAGCAGCAGCTGCACAGCAGCAACACACACACACACAGACTGTCCCTAAACAGCAGCAGCAGCAGCAGCAGCAGCGGCAGCAGGAGATGCTGCAGGGCAGCAACGTGGATACAAAAACTGCAGCAGCAGCAGAGAAGGTATAGGGGAAGAGGAGAAGGACAGAGGCGGGCTGCTGCTGCTTGTGCTGCTGCTGCAATCTTCTTGTCTCATCAGCAGCAGTGAAACAACAAGCAGATATATCTGTAGCTAGCTAGCTGTACAAGCGGAGAGCTAGCTGTCCCCATGGGCGGCCAACTCGCTAGCTGGGGGACCGCGGGTGT